ATAAATGACGCACACGAATTTGACATACTACAAATGAGTAAAATGTGTTTTGTTTGATCTTCTCATTCTCACCTGTGCATCCAGAGCTGCCATTCCTAGTTTGATCTTCCTGCAAGCACAAGTGTCATAGACAGTCAAACATCATAGTCTAACATCACATGGCACTGTATTTAAAACTGTAATGGTACAATTAGGCAATATATTAAAGTAATTGACATTGTAACATAAGCCAATACAATTTCATACCATTTTGACTGAAAATAAATGCCATTTATTGTCTGGTCTTGAAAGCTGCATTACAGAAGTAGAAAAAAACTTGTTCTGAATTTATTAAACTTCCCTCTTGCTTTGTTGAATCACATTATTGGTGTTTAGAGTGATAAAACGTCATGAGTCCTGCAGGCCTCAGACTCACATGGCTGCACGTGTAGGCCGCTACAGATGCAACTCCTGGCAATCTTTAATTAATGTTACCAAAATTGAGCTAAACATCTAGGTGAAGTAACAGGGACGCAAAATATGTCTTTCAGAAATAACATAAAGACAACAACATTTTAAATTCGGCGAAGTTTAAAAGCGGATTACCGCTAGAATGCAGTCACCTATGCAATCCTAACTGTGGCCTTAAAACAGCTTAAGACTCTTAGGAATCTAAAGCCCTAATGGATATATTATTATGATCATTACTGTCATTTTGGTACATTAATCTATACTTTCTCCAAAGCTGCTTTGTGGTTATGCTTAAGGTGAAAAGTGACGTGACCTTTACGTTACGATATATGATATATAATACGATATATAGGTTGCAAACAATATGCAAGTTAAATAAACAGCACCATATTATATTGAGAGCCTTGCACAAAAAGTCAAAAACCTACTTTTTCGTCGGCCATCTCGATCCCGTCTCCTCCGCGCCGAGTCTGCAGCATCTGTGCCTCTCGAGCATCTGTGACTCCCAGGTGAGAGGTCCAGGGGTGGGGGAGGGGCGGGGAGAGGAGGCGATAGTCGCGGTGGGGACTTAAAGCCTCAGGTTCTGTGTGATGTATCAGCCATTACTGACACTCACTCGGCGAACTAAGGCTATATTAATATTACCCGCGCTTTTTTTTTCTTTTTTTTTTCTTGTGCGGTTTTTGTTTTCTTTATAAAATGATGTATGGACATATATGCTCTGATAATATGCTCTGAAATAGTGTAAGCTATATGCTGTTATAAAATAAATAAATGTTATGCTCAAATTCAGATAGCCTATGTTTTTTTTTTTGTACAAATAAAATGACAGAGTGTAGATGTAAAAAGACATTTAGGCCTATATTATATTTAATATTAAAAAACAACACATTAATGAATGAACAAATTTGGAACTATTAAACAGCTCACAGAGAGATTGACATTCATAAAATAAAAATAAACTATTACAAGACCTTGTAATCAACAGAACAGATATTATGTTTACCCTCTGAGAGCCGAGGAGATAAAATAAATAAAATAGATTTGAAAGAAGTGAGGCATGAGACCAAACTCTGGATATGAGGCCTCCACACAAGGCCCGCCATGCTTCTTTGTTCTTGGATGGTTTCTTGCATTTGAACTGGGTGAAACATGTCAAGACTGTGGTGTCATAGATACAAGACCCCGCTTGTTTACAAAAGGTACAAAACAGAAAGTGAGTTGGGCTGTTGTTAATGTTACCGTCCTTAGAAATTGTCTATATTGATTCTGAAACTCTTTAACTGCATACTCCTAACTATTGTTAAAATAAACAATCTTCACAACAATTGCTCACCTTGCTTGTACTGTTCAAGACAATGATTGAAACCATGTATTGCTAGCACTTTTCTTGCTACAGACAAATTGCTTGTTGTATTCCTCATTTCATTTGTAAGTCGCTTTGGATAAAAGTGTCTGCTAAATTAATAAATGTAAATGCACTCACCAAGACAGCAGTTCGCCAGTTAGAGGAGAATGGGAAAAGACTATATTTGCAAACTATATAAATGAATTGTCAAATACTAGCACATGATTTAATTTAGGGTAAGAATAACACATGGTAAAAATAATTCAACAAATGATGATGCAGTTTTTCCACACTGGACACCCTTCTGGCTTAGCTACTGGTTCAGATTCTCCCAAAATGACATGAAACTATACACAACACCTCACTTAAACAGAAATAAGTGTTGTGGACATGCACGTACATGTAGCCTACGTCATCCATACATTGGCATGTGTTAGACTAATGATTATGATATACTGTAGTGCTCATCATTTCCAGGATTTGAGTTCACCTTGTCAGAGTAGCCATAATGATTTGGCACTTGTTGTCACCAGCATTTGGAACCACAGAGGTCAATGTGCTGATAGATAGGTTAGGGTTAGTGTTAGGAGCTGCTCTGAGAGGTACTGGTCCACCACACTCAGATGCTGATAGATAGGTTACATTTACATTTACATTTAGTCATTTAGCAGACGCTTTTATCCAAAGCGACTTACAACTGAGGACTAAACCAAGCGAGTCATCGTGAAGAGGCAAAAGCAACGCAAGAAGTGCTCAAAATACAAAGTTCAGACATAGCTCGGAGTAGCATAAGCCAGGCAAGCGAGGATTTAGAGGAAAGAATTTTTTTTTTTTTTTTTTTTTTTTTTTTTTTTATGTTAAGTGGTCCCGGAAGAGATGAGTTTTCAGTTGTCTTTTGAATGTTGTCAGGGATTCTGCATTCCGGATGAGGGTGGGGAGATCATTCCACCAGCATGGAACCGTGAATGAGAATGTTCTGGAGAGTGATTTTGTGCCCCGCTGTGATGGTACCACGAGCCGTCGCTCATTGACCGATCGTAGGCTTCTGGTAGGGATGTAGACTTGTAGTAGTGACTGGAAGTAGGAGGGAGCTGAACCTGTGGTCAATCTGTAAGCAATGCAAGCGTCAAAGCCTTGAACTTGATGCGAGCAGCGAGTGGTAGCCAGTGCAGAGAGATGAGCAGAGGAGTGACGTGGGCCCTTTTGGGCTCGTTGAAGACCAGACGAGCTGCAGGTTAGGGTTAGGTTAGGGTTAGTGTTAGGAGCTGCTCTGAGAGGTACTGGTCCACCACACTCAGATGCTGATAGCATTTCTGCTTCATACCATGCTTGCTCTATTAGCTGCTCTGCTAACATGACTATTGGTGATGATCAGTGCTCCACTGTGGCCTTTAGCTGTTCCTGGTGTGACACTGTGAACTGGAGTGCATACGCTGGCACATGCTTACATCAGCAATTACACAGGCATTCGCCATGTTTTTAGAAAGTGATCATTGCCCCGCTTCTACTTCACTAGCAGCACATCTGATGCTGGATCAGGAGATTATTTCTTAACTTTTGATCCAGCATCTGTTTCTCTCACACTCTGCACTGTTCACTTCCATTAGCTTCATGAAAAGAGGTGTATCTGGTCCCATTCTCCCACAATGAGCTCTCTCCAGGTCCTGCTAAAGCAATATCAGTCTCTCTGTTATCTCACAGCATCTGTAGGGTACAGGGTATTGGATGGCTACTAAACTGTGAGATATGATGTATGATGAGGGTATAATGTGCTGCTCTGTTAGCCTAGCGGGTAGCATTTACAAGATAATAAAGTCATGAAACATTTATATAAAAATAGTGTGTTAGTAGTTCACTTTTAAGGCTTTTGAGAGAGCACAGAGCTTTGTAGAATGTTTGTAGTTATCAAATATTACACCATTTGTGCAAAGGAATGACTAAAAAAGATGACCAAATCTGTTGAATCTCATTTGTATGTAGTGATATATTAAAAAGAAAGCCAGAAGATTAAAAAAAACAGCAGCTGCCAATTTTAGAAACAAGATTGTATATAGTCAGGGCCTGTTCATTTATTAATTTCATATGAGTTTATTTCATAAAAGTTTATTAGTGATCTGTTGAAAGTACATTCTTTGAATTCTGTTTAATGTATGCAGAAAGGCTCTGTCAGAGGGGTAGCCCAGAGTGAAAAATCTGTATATCATTTACTGATCATGATTTAATTAGATTATAATTAAATGATAATAATATATTAAAGTAATGATATAATAATGTATTAATTACTTTAACAAAATCACTTTGAAGTGTTTTTAACCTAAACTGACAATTAATTCATGTAGATTTTGTAGATGATCCTCTCACATAAACCAGTCCCCACAGAAGCGAGACTGA